TAATTTCTAGGGTTCTATTGTGCGCGCCGTGACAGGTTCATAGGGTGGGTAAGTTCGTGATTTCTCATGATGCGGCGGGCGAGAGAGTTGAAATTGAGAGGGATAGATGTATCAGGAGAGGGAGAGAGAATTAGAGATTCAGAGCTGAGAAAATGATAGTGGATTGATCTTTCCTTTTTGTTCCTGAATAAGTAGGGGCTTAGGTCTTGTATTAGGAACTTGATGGACCAATTTGTAGAAAAAAACACTCACCTTAAGCCAGCTTGCATGTTCTCTTCTGACTGGGCAAGAAAAAAGTCTCAACTTCCATAAGGAATTAAGGATCCATGGGTACATACAAATCAACTTTGCACAAGCAGCTGCAGTACCAAATTTGCACTAATTGACACGAATCAAGTTTGTACAAGGAGTTAGCAAGATTACGAGCCTGCTTGTTATCCGCTGAAGCTTTATTTCTTGCCCAATCACAGTTCATCGTTTGGGCTGTTTACTCCCAGGCACAATCACCTTATTTATGAAGGGTAATTTTGACAGCGCCACTAGTTGACTCTGATGCACATGCATTTGCTAGCCTTTTAGCTTGCACACCCTTCTCCAATCTACATGTTTCTGCATTTGCACCGTCTTCTGCTCTGCTGCTGACGAGAACTTCGTCCTCCTCCTATACCCCTGCTCCTGCATCTTACCTCTTGATGCTTGCAAATGGACAAACTTTGTGTGGATCTTTTCCCTTTCCAGTTTTCATGTCATTCATGGAACCATGTCGTAGCAAACTGACAATGAAAGGGGATTTGAGGAAACCCATCTGTAGACAATTATACAACTTGCATAGTAACAAAGAAGAACCAGTTTGCTTCTGGGGGCTATTTTGATGGAACCAAGTTAGAATTGAAATATTACCTTGTAGAATATATATATTGAATCATATGTGTAATTAAATTTCTCCCTGGCAGGGATTGACCGACTGGTTACCAAGTGGCAGGGATTATATCCCCTAGTGGAACTAATCCCGGCAGGGATTGGGTTGATTCCCTCCCTGCAGGGATTAGTTCCTACTTCCTAGTGGAAATAATCCCCAGCAACTGAACATAACCTTATTGTGGTTCTGATGCCAATTAGGGATCTTGGTTGGATCTTTGGGGACGGAAGGTGTGGGTTTGCGGTGAATGTAATAGGTGATGGGAATAGAAAGTACAAAAGTTCTTGTGAACTTTTGGCGGAAGATAGCATTTCCTGTGGTCATTGGAAAGATATGTCAGAGGCTAAATTTTCTTTAGCTTTGTTGTGTTGTTGCCTGTAAACTTCATAACACAGGCACGATGCCATATGATTGGGCATGCTGCAGTAAGCTAACAGTCAGCTGCAATCCATGGTTTCTTGCACATTGCGCCTAACTGGTCGGACCTGTCCTGCATAAACGTAACCTGCCAGAGGTACGGGTACCCTATGTTTGGTGTTATTTGGGGCAGAAATCTGCAAAGATGAGTTTTGGACACACCATACTAAATCTTCAGCAATCTTGTTGTTCCTTTAGAGCCCCATGGTTAGGACTTAGGAGTTTGTTTAGTAGGAGCAATGTATTCCTGCATGCTGCTCAATCTTAGTTTGGGATCAACCGGCCAACTCTACATTTTTAATTATGATGTTGCATGATAACTGAGTTGTGATATTGCCTTGCGCTTGTTTATATGCATCTATCCTGCCATACTTTTTGGTCCTTCCTTGACATTTATGCTAATACTATTTTGGATTAACCAGCAATGGCATCATCTTCGGACCCATGGATGAAAGAGTACACTGAAGCATCTAAGCTTGTTGACGATATAAGTTCCATGATTGCCGATAGAAGTTCTCTTCCACAATCAGGCCCTGAAATTATGCGCCACACATCAGCCATTCGGAGAAAAATAACTATTCTTGGGACTAGACTGGATAGCTTGGTGACATTGTTGTCCAGGATTCCGCCAAAGTCACTGTATGTTTCGACTACTTTTATCTTTATATAACATAATACTGAAGATCACTAGAGTTCTTACATTACTGCCATTTTTGTGTCTCACAAATCTTGACAGTTTGTTTTGGAAGTTACAAAGGAACATAGGACAGTAGAATCTCAGAGAATTTGTATGAACTGTTACTTAATCCATTATTTGCATGTTCGATGTATCCTTAGAATCAAAATTCATCTATGGTTTACCTTGTCTTATGTCAATAATATGTACTCCCTCCGTTCCGATTTACTCGTCGTGGTTTTAGTTATGACGAGTAAATCGGAACGGAGGGAGTACATGGGTTGGCTGCTTATAAGAATAGTCTAGTGAATTCTACTCTTCTAGGCGCTGTCAAAGAATCATTATAATAAGGTGTGCAGTATAGGGAAGAGGTTGCCATGCTGGTTGATACAAGTTCTGTGTGAAATGTGTTTCTAGTAGAACCTTCTAGTTGTGAGCTGCCGGAGAACTAGGCCTTGGCCTCCGACGGTCAAGTGCCTTGATGGCAACCCTGGCCGATTGGAGCACAAGGATAAAATAGGGGATGGGGGTAGAAGGAGTAAATCAGGGGCAAGAGGCCTCTTATTTATTGCTTTCTGAAAAGATAACAAGGCCTAAGTAGCCGGTGGTTAACAATAACTAACTCATGTAGCAGATAAGATGAGGTTCTAGACAAAGAGGTAAATGGAGATAGACTTAATTGAATGGCGTAATAAACTTAGACCCCCACACGTAATAGTAGTAGTCTATGTCAAACAAGTTTACTGCTGCACCTGTATAATAAATTGAGTACTCATATAAATTTGTGTCCAGCAATTTTTACTTGCTATAAAAAAGATTCATGTAGTCATTTTAATTATTTTTTGCAGCACTGACAAGGAGATGCATAAGCGCCAAGATGCACTTTCCAACTTGAAATCTAAAGCAAAACAGATGGGGACAAGTTTCAACGTGTCAAACTTTGCCAACAGGTTTGTTCTGCATCTCAGTACTGAACCTAGAATGGTCTTAGCCTGCATGAATGCTCTCCTTTTTCTCAGGGCTTAAAAAAATTACTTGAATACATTATTTGGTTAAAGTTTCTTCAGATTATTAGCATTTTGTCAGAAATAAGTATATATAAAATATGCATTTATGCTGTATAGGGAGGATTTGCTTGGTCAGAGTAAGAAAGCAGCTGATGATATGAGCAGAGTTGCTGGGTTAGACAACCAAGGGATTGTTGGCCTCCAGAGGCAAGTTATGAGAGGTATTATTGGTGTTCATCTAGTAGTTTGTTTTAACAGTGGAACTTGTCAACTATATAAACTGAATTTGAATTCACAATTAGCTATTTGTGCCAAAGCACGCCTATAAGACTCCACAAGTCTTGTTTCATCCCATTCTTACTTGCATTTTGTATTGGTTGGCACATATATTTACATTCTTGAATCATCAGCATTTGTGTAGGTGATAAGCATCGCATGGTAGCTAATTCATTTGTTTTAACAATTTGCAGAACAAGATGAGGGTCTCGAAAGGCTGGAGGAGACAGTCCTGAGCACAAAACATATTGCATTAGCAGTCAATGAAGAACTTACTCTGCATACAAGATTGATTGTTAGTGCTTACTCTCCAAGATTGATATGCATTTGTGTATCTGGTAATGTTTGATAATTGCTTTTCTCCATGTCGCAGGATGACTTGGAAGATCACGTCGACGTTACAAACTCCCGTCTTCAGGTAGATATCTTACTACTATTTGATATGAATTAGTTCCGCTCACATGGATGTGCATTGACGCGACTCTCTTGATTCAGCGTGTGCAAAAGAGGCTTGCAATTCTGAACAAGCGCGCCAAAGGTGGCTGCTCATGCATGTGCCTAATGCTCTCTGTTGCTGCCATAGTGCTGCTCGCGGTTATCGTTTGGCTTCTCATCAAGTACCTGTAAAGAAGCGTCCTGCTGCGACCGTTGTTCAACGCATCGCTTGTTTGATACTCTGTTGAAGTGTGCAGTCTCTTTAAAGATATATACGATGGTTTCCATGGCGGTCCTTTTTATAGTGTTTGGAACGGTTGTATCAATATGTACAAGGTGTGAGGCTCTGGCATATGCCCAGAAATACCTGTGTGGACAATTGTGGCCTTTGTAAGTCTCTGGAGGGAGAAATATGTACATTTTGTGCGAGGGTTTATATGCTTTACCTACTGTTTTCCATTGTACAAGTGTGTGCGATTTTGTAACCTGTTTGTGCTTGGGTGCCACTAGTGCAGGGCAGCTTGCATTGCGAAATCAGATCCCTCTCTTTGGGCAAAATTTGTGGCGACTTGTTGTAAGATGGTCCGTTGGTTTCACAATGTACGCCTCGTCTGATATCGAGGGACGCACAAAATTTGCTGCCGCTGAAGAGTGGATCATGAACGAAGCTAGTGTCGTTTCAAAATAAATAAATCCTCCAGGACGCTACTGAGACAGTATCTCAAGATCGTCAGCTACCGTATTAAGAATAAATATCTTAACAAGCTTCTTGATTGGATCGAGATTAAACTTTGAGATCAAGCTTCTTGATTGGGTTGAGATTAATCTTTAAGCTCAGTTGATCAGACTACAATTTTTCTGCATCATGTTACCAACACAAGGAATTGACTGAATTTCTCTTTATCTCTTTTTTTGCCTTTTCCCCTTGTAAATATGTTACCTTTGCTTAAGAATTCTTTTACCAATAGATCTTCTAGTTTTTGGGAGGCTTTAATTCCAGATTTTATTTCTCAACTTCTTGTAAACGATATGTCTATTATTTGAGAAATAAAGTTTTTACCCGTCAAAAAAAAAATGTTACCTTTGCTTTATATATGTAGATATCACATAACGATTGTTCCACGGTTGTAGTGTCAAAAAACAAAAGACCAGTGCATCCAAGCGTGTGGATGCTTTCATACATTCTAAGATTATTTTTTCAGTAAAACTACACGTACGGGGAGTTTATAGGCTCTTACGGGATTGATCCAATGTGGCACTTTAGTTGGGGAATCGCGCCACCTCCCTGAAATTGGAAGGAGCCCGTAGCTTGTAGGAGGCCGTATGTCCAGCAATGTTGTTATTTTGTTGTTGGGTGAAGCGATGCCAGCTTTCCATTGTTGCCAACGAACATTGTGCACATGTTGCCAAAGGTGCACAAACCACAATATTTGTATCATGGCGGAGGCGACGTGACCTTGAGAACGCCGGCAATGAACATGGTGTGCATCTCGCCAAAGACTCACAAGTCACGGGTACTCAGTCTGAGATTTGCATGGCGACCAGTAAAGATCTGAACATATATTTTTTCAATAAAGGCCACTAAAATTAATCGGTGAACAAATAAAAGGAAATGGAGAATACAATGCCACGACTTGTAATCATCAAACAGGCAAGCATCTAACTTGACCAAGGTGCCCATGGAGTTGTTAGGACATATCAGCGTTGCAACGGGGTAAGATGCACTTGTTCTGAAGGCGGTGTCATAGATACATTGGCTTGCCGGCCTGATGCCGACGCAGAGCTCCATGATTCTCCGACTGCTAAACCGACAACCTTTCTTCATCTCGCCCGCCCCTTCCTTGCACCTCGTGGGCACGAGGTACTCCGGGAAGAACTTGGCAAGGATACGACCACTAGTAGAAAACAGGGCTTTGGTCCAGACCTAGCCAGCCCATTAGTCCCGGTCTAGTCACGAACCGGGACCAATAAGGGCATACGTCCCGGTTCGTGAGCCTAGGAGGCCGGCCGGGCCTCGTGGGGCATTGGTCCCGGTTTGTCTGGACCCTTTGGTCCCGGTTCCAGACACGAACCGGGACCAATGGGCCTCGCTCCTAGCTCACATCCATTGGTCCCGGTGTCGTGGATCTAAGACTGACAGTAGAATGGCGGGTAAGTATGAGGAGGCAAGATCCTAGCTATGAAGGAGTTGTACACACGAGTTTTACGAGTTCAGGCCCTTCTCGGAGGAAGTAACAGCCCTACGTCTCGGTGCCATGAGGCGGTCGACTGGATTATATGTGTGTGTGAGTTTACAAAAAGATGCGAACCCTTGTCCCATAGGAGGGGGGTGGCTTATATAGAGTGCGCCAGGACCCCAGCTCCCCTCCGTTACACAGGGTTCAATGCTCATAAAGGAAAGGCGTTACTGGTAACGTCTACAGTAAAGTGTCATAAATGCTCATAATGCTATGGTTTAAGTCCCGACCGTTGCAGAGTGGAGGGTTCCTCAACTTCTGGTGGTCGAGTGTCTTCAAGGTGGTCGAGTGAGCGCGTCTCCACGGTCAAGTGGATGATGGTTTCTCTTCGACTGCTTCCGATTCTTTGTAGGGATGTCCTTGGGGAGGGTATGTTGGACTGGTCCATGACCCTACCCTAGGTACATAGCTTCATCATTAGCCCCCGAATGGATCAGGGTTTGAGTGAGGAAGGGGTTGAGAACATTTCCGACCCACTCTTTGTGCTATGAATACGCCTTGTCCTGGAACAATGAGTTGAGGTGACGACGTCGACTCCTTTCTCAATCGCCTTGGTCCATTCCTGGTTGTTGTCGAGTGAACTTTCATGGTAAAATTCCGAATGATGATGTAGAGGGTGCTTGTCTTCAGTCTGACAGGTTGTTCTGCTCTCCACGGATCTCGCGGGATTCGAATTTTGGGAAGTGCGCCAGACGGGCAGAACCGAGGTTATCGAGACGGATTAGGCAAGTCTCCTCGATCTCCGCGCCACCTTTTTCGCCACATACTGCGCGCGTGACTGTTGCGGGATTTGTTTAGATCGCTTGGGTCCACCAGTCAGCCACTCGGTGAAAGGCCTTATAAAAGTTCCCGGGCCAGGCCTCTGCTCCGCGTGCTCCCATTCTCTTTTCTCTTTCCCCCGATCTCTCCGCCACTCACGCTTCTGCTTCGTCGCCGGACCTCTGTTCGAGCTCGACCCGTCACCATGGGGAAGGAGAAGACGGCGGCGCTGGAAGGCGCGAAGAAAGCGACCGCGGAGGCGAAGGGCAAGCGGACCAGCCGGGGCGGATCCTCGTCGAGGTCCGGCCTGCTGGCAGGCTGGATCCAAGGCGACTGGATCCGCTCGGCAGTCACGCAGGACGACCTCGACGACCTGGTGGAGGGGGGATTGATCCCTCACAAGTCGGCTCGGCTCCCGGGGGACGAAACCGAGCCACAGCCTAGAGAGGGTGAGTGTGTCCTCCTCGCAACCCACATAGATCGTGGATTCTCACTGCCTCCCCACCCTTTCTTCTGGGGTTTTTTGAACTTCTTTGGGGCTCAGCTCCACCATTTCACTCCGAACACCATAGTCTATCTGGCCGCTTTCGTGTCCATGTGTGAAAACTTCTTGGGATGTCGACCGCACTGGGGGCTTTTCAAACACATCTTCACTTGCCGTTCCCAGTCGGTCAAAAAGGCCAAGTCGAGTGATGAGAGGACGCGGGTGATCCAGATGTGCGGTGGTCTGGGGATCCAGATGAGGAGCAAGAGTACTTTCCCAGCCATGATCCTTCCTGACTCGGTCCGGGGCTGGCAGTCGACTTGGTTCTACTGCAAGGATCAACCAACCCCTGGCCAGTCGACTGGACTTCCTCCTTTCTCCTTGGCTCGAGTGGAGAAGCCTGCTCCCCTGAAGGTAGTTCCAGAAGAGAAGGCGCAGGTCAAGGTGCTGGTTGAACGGGTCATCCAGCTTGTCCACGACGGAGTGACCGGGATGGATCTGCTGGAGGTCTTTCTTGGTCGACGCATCCAACCTCTTCAGGCGCGCGATCATCCGATGTGGATGTACTCTGGGATCGAGGATACCACTCGGATCCACCCGGAGGAGGTCAGCGAGGATATCTTGGAGAACTGGTTGAGGGGAATCACTGGCAACAAAGACAACCCTCGGGGGTCCAGGAGGGTGATTCCATTCGACAACTCGCACCAGCCGGAGCAGGTATATTTCTGTTTTATCAAGTATCTTTCCGATTCGCCATGTGATGTCCCGTTTGTGGTCGACTGAATTTCCTTTGGTTGTTATCCTTTCAGGCCCTCATTGAAATGTATTCGATGCCCAACGGAGTGCAGGACCCAGGCGCTGAGGAAGAAGGGAGCGAGGGCGAGAGCGGCGAGGAGCATTCGGAAGCCGAGGAGGACAAGGAGAGCGAGGAATCGACTGATGAGGAAGAAGTCGACTCACCTCCTCGCAGGGAGAGGAGGTCCAAGCACACTCATGACCCGGCAAGCGCTCCGGACTTGGTGGCTGCGCCAATCGGGCAGTCCTCGAAGCACCCCAGGACGTCTTCCCCGACGCCGACTGAGAAGGCTCCAAAGCAATCTAAGGTCGCGCCGCCTCCAGCGCCGAAAGTGCCGAAAGCCATCTCCTCCAAACTGCCAAAAGCTTTGCCCAGGATCAAAGTGACCGTTCCTACTATCTCCGGGTAACCATCTGACTTGTCCTTCATGTGTATTCGATTAATTGGGTGTAACCGATTGAATGTGGGCCTTTGCAGTGCTGCTACGTCAGGGACCTCTTCATACCAGTACCGGGACGAGGAAATGGAGGATGCGGTAACCTCTAACCCAGGTATGAACTCTTGCGATTTAGATTCTTGATCCTTTTAGGGTCGAGTGGTTCACTTGGGGTCGAATGTTCTGTGTTGCAGCTCCACCCAACATCATTGATCTTCCGGACGACGACGAAGATGTGGCTCCTAAGCCTAGGAAGAGCAAGAAGGTAACAGCTGGCAGGGTGGCTCGGTAAGAACCAACTGCAACGCCTCCTGTCCGTCAAGCTGAAGACGCGGGCAGGGCCACTGTGACGTTCGCTGCACCCTTGCCAAGTGGGCATCCCACGTGGTCGACCGCGCCTGTGGTTCCTTCAACTATCCAACTCCACACCACGGAGCTTCAAGCAGCCGCACCTAGGTCGTCTGCACACTTTTTCACCAG